ACCCACTGTGGCAACCCCTGGTGAATAAGGGAGCTGGCGACAGTAGCTTCTGCACTGACAGAAGACACTGTGGAAGCAGGCAGTCCATTGTAAAATCAGTGCATCACTAAGCATGCATTCATATTTTACTTATCTTTTTAAACTTTGTTATATAAAAAAAAGCTTGATTTCTATTACTGAGCTTTATGTAATCACAAAAATTGCAATAAATATACTTTTTTAAAAAATTCAACATTGCTCCATTATTCAGTCCTCAATATTTAATCTTTCAAGACAGTAAATCATCACTGATTACCCTTTTGTTTTGTTTTTTCTCTGATTTTCCACACTTAATGTCTGCATTTCTGTTACTCTACTTATACGAGCAGTAAAATGAAACAGGGCACACAGAGCTTTTTAACACAACTTTTGGTTGTTTTACATTTGCTGTGTTTGTTTATCTATTTCATTCTATCCCCAGAATCAAATTTCTCTGTGTTTCAACACTTAATCTGACTTTACATTTTCTGCTAAAATATGAGAAGACAGGCAGAGAGAGGTGGACAGGAGGCACAACAGGATCCATATCGTCTTTCTCCTCAGTGTGACTCCCTGATAGCTGTTGGCCTTTTCAGTCCTCTTAAAGATACCCTCCATCAACATCTCTCCTTCAACCCCTACTTCTCTCCCCTGTTTCCTCAAGCTCAGGTTTTTATCTGACTTTGCTCACTCCAGTTTCAGGCAGTGGAAATTAGAGTAGAGCACAAAACAGCATGAGGCAGAGAGAAAGGAAAAGAAAAGAAAGGAGAACGGCAAGTAAGGAGATGGGACAGTGGGGAAGAGAGGGAGAAAGAAAACAGATAATAAAAGCAGTATGGGGGTCAAAGCTTCTAGCTGTGCTGCTGAAACAGCAGGAAACAAAGAGAAGTAAACAGCTTACAGAGTATAGGTCTTACCAACGACAAACAGATAAACAGTGCACACACAGTAAATTCAAAGACCCTACAATAGATTTCTAAGCGATTAACTAAAACTGTGTACTATAATACTGTATCTATCTATACAGATATATACATATATCTAGCATTTGTAATTAGTTTTCTAATTTCATTGCCTATATTTTCAAAGTGAACTAAAAGCTTTGTCTGACACCAAAAAAGGCGTTCTCTCATCATTTCGACTGTGTTGTTTGCACTTTTCATCTGTTTATTTAGAGCAGAGAAATTATTGCCCATTATTGTAATCAAATTGCTGTTATCAAACAACAACAACAACAACAATGACTTAACGCAATCTTCGATATCACCAGCTCTATTTAATTATTCAGTTGCCATATTTTGTATGTGTATACTGATTATTGTGTGCTTGAGATGAAATTTCCTAGAGCAGCAAATTATGCAAACTAAAACACATCTTGAGCAGTTCCAAAATCCAAAACTTCCAAAACTTAATCCATGTTTGACCAAGACCCGAGGATTACTCTTTTCTATTTATATAACACCAAATCATAATAACAGATTCCTCGAAGCACTTGATATTGTAAGGTAAAGGCCCTACAATAATACAAAGAAAACCCCAACAACCACATGAACACCTATGAGCAAGCACTTTGGTGACAGTGGGAAGGAAAAACTCGCTTTTAACAGAAAGAAACCTCTGACAGAGACAGCCTGAGGGAGGGGCGGCCATCTGGTCGACAGGTTGGATGTGAGGGGAGGAAGAGAGGACAATTTCAACAGACAGGACAGACAGTAGAACTCGGAAATATGATATTTGATATTAATATATAAAATGAGCTTTATACACAATTACAAATCTACTGTAGAAACATAATAAAAAGAACTTGATGTATGTGGGGGGGTTATCTTAGACTGGGTGATCGAAATTATGTTAATAACTAAGTGTCAATTACTAGACAAGAGGACAGTTTAAAGCCATGGTTCATTAATTAAACAGAAAAATCCTCTCAGTAACATATAACTCAAAACACAGCAGCTAGCAAACAGCTGATGGAAGACTAATAAATGACTAGCAGCTGCACATGAAGTCAGTACTGAGCACTGAGAGACAGAGGAGGAAAGAAAGAGGGAAGATCTGAGGGCAAGACTGTGAGCATAAACTCATGAATAAACAAAACTGATGACAGCACGCCAACTTACCATCTTATTAACAGTTTTGTTTTGTGTTTGTGCTCTCAGCAAAAAAGTTAGTACTCAAATATTAGAAAGCAGTAAGACAGATGAAAAGGGAAAACATTTTTTTAAAGTATGTTTAAGAAATCAAATACAAGCAACACAATGGGGATATGATGCTATAGTTGAAGAGAAATTACTACTATTTTAATTTACCTTCTATGAAAATAGTATTTAACACTATATGCATACGAACCTTTGTTTCTGTGTCTGATTTGGTTAAGAACTGAAGCAGACACCAACTAGAACATCAAAGAAAGAACGTATACATACAGCACAATTTCTGCTTCCGGGATGTTCTTTGCAACAAAATATATTTATTTATTAGGGGTGCAACGATACTCGTATCGATATTGAACCGTTCGATACAGTGCTTTCGGTTCGGTACGCATATTTATTTTATCAACTTTCCTTCTGACGATGCTGTCTGTGTGGAGCGCTCAGTGGATCTGCGCTCGACAGTGCAGCTTAGGCGGAGTAGTCGAACGCAAATCCACTGAGCGCAGGGCAAGCTAGCGAGACAGAAGTTAAGCTCTCGTTGCAACATGGCAAATTGAACCTCCCCCACCCTCATTCAGATCTGGCGTTTGGAATTATTTTGGTTTTCATGTGACGTATGACCCTGAAGGTAAGCACGTCATGGACAAAAGTAAAACAGTGTGTCGGATGTGCCACGCAATGCTCAGTTACATTGGTGGGAACTAGTGCGTTAGCGCAGTTAGCTCGTTAACGTGTTGGCCATCTAGCCCCATGCACGGGGCGATCCGCGGTAGCTCGTTAACGGAGATTTGCCGTGTTGTGGCGTTAACGTCATTTCAGATTAACGCTGACAGCACTAGTGGGAACACAACGAATATGACTGCACATTTATGCCGACATCATCCTAGTGCAAAGACAAGTGGAAGCAGACAAAAGCAACAAGCATGCATGCTACAAACTTTACCCGAGTCATTTAGACAGCCGTTAGCACATTGTTCGCCTTATGGGGACCTGATATGTTTAATATGCTGCTGAGAATACAGCCCAGAAGAAGGGTATAGTATAGCTTTTATTTTGGAAAGAGACATTTCTCTGTAATAAACTCTCTTTTCCAAAGATGAGTGATTTCTTGATCAGATAGATTTATTTTTTTATTACTTTGTTGTTTCAGCGACATTAAATTTAAAAACTGTACTTTTTAGTTAAAATATATATTTATAATTTTAATAAATGACAAATTAAAAAAACATGAACATTTGTTTGTATCGAAAAAATATCGAACCGTGACACCAAAGTATCAAACCAAACCGTGAATTTTGTGTATTGTTGCACCCCTAATATATATATATATAATATATTATATATATAATATATATATATATATATAATATATATATATATATATATATATATATATATGGGGAGAGAGAGAGAGAGATATGCATAAGCCAAAATAACAATTCTGATTTATGCTGCTGGTTGTTGACCCAATTGTTTTTTCCAGCCAAGCATGTGTTTCAGTTTTGCTTGCTCTGGGGACCGAAGCTTATTATCAAGCAGGTGGAAACCCATAAGCTGAGCTCACGTCAACCTTAAGTCTAAGAAACCAGGTTGTGTATATCTTTGTATTCCTGCCAAAGCAACAGCATGATTCATCATTACCTAGCCTGCAGAGTAATACCATGTGCTGTCAAGCGACAAGTGTGGAACTTTGGCTGCGATCCAGTACATCGTTGTGGATCCCATTAAACTGTCCTCTGAACATCGCAGTACAGCACTGGCAGTGGGACAGCTGTGTACACACATCTGACATGTGACCTACCTTTCTGGACAAATAAAACATCTGAATAATGGATTTAACCTGTGAGCTTCCAGTGTACCAGTGAGACAAAAAATTTGGACACATCACAAAGAGCAAAATATCAACAGGGCCAGACACTGACAAATGCCCAGATAAATCAAAAGGGAAAGGGGGACTTAATTGACTATGCAGTGTAGGCATGTTAAAAGCCCATTTTAATGGTCTGATTTTAAATAACATGTAATACAAACAACCTCTGTATGATGTATGGCAAGTAACATCTGTGTCAAATATATGTGTAAATGATAAATACACCTCTTGTTCAAAGCTGCATGCTTACAGCTCATTTTCTGTTTTCACAGTGTTTAAAAATTATTATTATTTTGTTTTGGTATCAGTAAATGAATTAATTTAAATACATTACATTTTTGTCACCTGTCATTATAAGGATAGTCATGACCCCCAAAACTGAATCACTGAATCAAAAGACATGTCATTTGCCCCATATTTTGAAGGATACTGTTTATAACTATAATCATGAACTACACTTTCACACACTTACAAATAAATAAAAAAACAAAAACAAAACAAAACATAGAGATCACAATTAATTGAAGATGAGTTTTTCTATGAATAGAGTGGCAGAAAAATTTTAACTATGTATTCTATGAAGTCTATGTTGTGGTTACAGGACTAAGATGGACAGATTCTACACTTATAATGCCTTGCCTACCTTAGTCACTACAAGCCAGTTAGAAACAGATTTTGCAAAATCGTACACATACACCAGAAAGCTCCTCCACCAATACATAATTCTTAGATTTTAATGAGTTAAGTCTAAATATGTTGAGCATTTTTGCTATTTTCTAGTTTGTTTGTTTTTTAAAAAGCAATTTATTTTCCAGCTGTTTCGACATAAAAGTACAGTTGGGTTTTGTTTTTTCATCCAAAAAAATCTCTCTCAAAAAGTTTGACAGTTGCCTTACAGCCACTTTCTGCTAAAGTCCAAGTAAATCTCTATTTAGATGTGTGTGCTAGCTTTTGCTTACCTGAGTTTTCGTCAACCCTTTCCTCCACAGTGTGGTCTTTCTGATGGACCCACTCGCTGTTGCACTTGAAGTAAATCTGTGTGGCAGGCGTTGCTTTGCAGTAGAGATTGACGGGCTTATTCTTGACAATGTAGCCTTCCTCAGGTTCAAACAGGAAGTGAGGTAAGGGTTCCGGTGGGTCAGAAGGGAAGGTTTCTGGGAGCTCACTCAGACTCAGGAAATCTTCGTCATCTCTCACTGCAAAGAGAAGGAAAATTTAAGTGTTCAAATGTTTTTCCCCTGTTCATTAGTCTGTTTTAAGAGAGAAGCCGGAACTGTGAATCTTGTATTCATTCAATTGCTTTGATTTCATCAGTAATATCTGTTTTATCCAAACTACTATGCTTTCCCCCCTCATCATTATACAGTACACCTGCTTATGGAGTCCAGTTATAGCACTCTGTTAGCCATTAGAGCCATAAGAAAAAGACGTTCTTGGCTTTGTATGTGTCTTAACTTTATAAGTTAATAAAATTAAGACTGTACAATGAAGGAAAACTGATTGAAAGAGGGCAAAAAGAGTAAAGCTCCTGAACAAGCATACAACAAAAACTTGGGAGCTAGTCACTGGAGCTATCCTTTATGAGATTACTCACAGCAGTAAGCCAAGCAGACAAAGTACACTGATTTAGCCTGAATTTAGCAACAAATTGGTTGCCAGTTGACAAGACTAATCAGGGGCTTTTGTTCATTTTCAGTGGGAGCACATACAAGTTCTGGATTTGGAGAAATACCCATGAAGATTTGCAGTGTGAGTTGCTGTCAGAAAAAAAAACCTGCAGTATTTGTCCATCTTAAATCACAAACTAATCAAATATACATTTACATGCCTGTAACTTACAGCACTACCTCTCTCATGCAGAGTCAAAGCTGTACAGGTAGGGTCAACACCAGGGTTTAAAATGCATGGAATAATCTGGAGCAGCATACTGGCATCTCCAATTTACAGAAACCAAATCATATTCAGGTGAAGATTTTATAATATAAAGTCAGTTTATATTTTTTTGTGCGGAAGTCTGGTATTGCTACCAGTTAATGCCATGGAGTTGCTCACTTAAAGCAGATGGTCACACTTATGCCTCCTTTTTTCCCTTCTCATTGCTATAATGTGTTCATGTTATAGATATCAATAAAGTTGTGATCATGGCACAGCATCTGGCCAGTTGTACACAACAGAAGTGAGCAATCAAAAACTTTTTTTTAAAGTGGCATTTAATTTCAGATGTACAAAAGAGGTTGTGTGCCTGATTCTGTATGTCAGTCAAAGACACAGAGGCTTTATCGCCCAGAAATTAACAAAATGGTAATATGTTATGAATTTAAAAAGGGGAACGTATTACCACGCTAGACAGTGTGGTAAGGTTTAAGGTAATGGACCTTATTGGACTGGTGTAGCCTTTAGTGTCACCATTACATTGGGTCAGTCATAAGTTTAAATTTAAACTAATAATGCTCTTTAGTTTGACTTGCCATATCCCACCTTCAGCAGCCATATTTACCACTGATTGAGAGTAAATGTAAACAAAATATGAATCAATGTACACAACAGTGAGCCAAAACCATAAATTTTCTAAACAAACAAACAAAAAACTAATTATCAATAACATAATTATAACCTCCATCCATTTTATTCAGATTTTAAATCTACAACTTTTCCTTTATATGTTTTTGGAAAACATGAAGAAGAGCAAATAAAGAAATGGGCAGGGAAAATATATACACACAGGCAGGAAATGACTGAATAAACTGAATGGCTGACCCCGAGGCCATCAGGAACTTTATCCTCCTCTCAGTCCATCCTGCTCCCTTACCTCCAACATCTTTTCACTTCTCGCCCACCCATGACCTCAATCAAAGCGACACCTGGAATGTTTTGTCACCAGGTTGCCAAGGTCGCCAAAACACAGAGGATTACAAGAGCCGGTGGGAGGGAGAAGAGCTAGGGTCTCATTCTCTCTCTCTCTCACAGACACATACACACACAGAGGCAGACACAATACACTTATTTTCCGAAAGTTCATACAAACACACACTTGCTCTCGCACACAAACAAATGTTTTTAACGTATAAGTTTCCTCCACTCCATCACCTTCCAGTTTCATTTGGACCTTGTGGACTGTCTAGACCTCTGTATGTATGTGTGCGCCTCTGTGTGTGACTGCCTCACCTGGAGATCTGTGACTCATCGGAAAATTTAAATACAGAACGCTACTGACACAACGTCATGGTTTTTCAGGCCAAATTTTTCAATTCTCCAATTGCACATAAACTGTGCTGTGAATACACACAAAAGCAGCATCCAAAAAAACGACACATAAATGTGTTTATGTGCTTATGCACATGCATACACAATCTTCCATTCCTCAACCATATCCATTTGTGCGCATGTGTAATTGTGGCCCTTATCTTGGAGAATAGAAATGTGCTGTGGGGCTAGAAGCTAAAAGCAGCTTAGGTAAAACATCAAGACACAAATAGGGGGAAAATGAGTAGGCAGCGTCCCCACTTTGATGTCACGAAGCTGACATTTTCTCTCTTAGTTCTGTAATTAGTTCTCTGAGAGTATGGAAATTGGTAGACATTTTCACTGTATAATTTCATTATCTGTGGGAAATTTTCTCCAACACTTGGTTATTTATCCAGTGTCATATTCAGCCATTTCTCTGTTAGTTTCTCACTTGCTGCACCGCCTTCTCTGTATAGCTATTTTTTGCTCCTTTTTTCCCCTTCATGAACCTGCTTTTGCTTTTACGCCCCTACTGCTTTTCACTTCGCCCCAATAATCATTCTCACCCTCATCTGTCATTCAGAGAGCTGAAGGGGTTCATGGCTCTGGAGCGACAGCTATAAATTATTGATTGGCACAAGAAACATGATAGCTAGAAAAGAGTGTTGGTGGAATGAGAAAATGGGAAGGATGGAGGGGGGAAAAATCTCTATGAATAAAAGCTTTGTTTCCCAAATGCTTACTGTTTCCTTCCACTTCTGCATCTTCCCTGTGCCTTCGTCTCCTCTCACAGCGCATCACTTTTGCCTTTTCCATCTGTTTTCCTCTTCTAAACCTTATCCCTCTTTCTTGTTTCACCACCTCCTTACACACCCACCTACCCCTCTCCCCCCGATCTCCTGACAGGGTGACTTAAAGATCCTAACAGCCCAGCTCATAAACGTCTTGCCTGAATGCTGTCACCACTAATGGATGGCTGTAGCAGAACAATGTCCAGGTGCGATTTACAGTATGTTGTAAATATGTGCCACTGGCTAAAACCCCATTTATTCCCTCCTTGAAGTCAGTAGGGAAGCCCACCTTAGAATACCTACAAACCAAACCAATAAATATCTGTAAATCTGCTAAAAACATATATCATCAGAGGCAACTAATCATCTCTGAACGTCAGACAATATTATGACCACTGGAATCAGTATAGAAGTCAATAGGTTACTGACAGATTGAGCAAAAAAAAAGCAAACAATTCTGAAATAATTTAACATGGTATGCAGCAACCCCCTGTTGACAAGACAAATACTACAATATTTGTACAGTAAAAACAACAGGCTACTCACAGACTTTGCATGACTTAATGGTTTGCATCAGTAATACATTTTTGGGTTTGAATGGTTTCCATAAAACAAGGTTAATTTTACATGAAAAAGTGCAATATGAGCAGTATTTGATACTTTTTAAATCTTCCTGTTAGTTACAGGAGTAACAAACAAATATGTAAACAATTTGAAAAGCTGATGCTGGAGAGTGCAAAAAAAATGCATTCATTCCTCCAACCTAATGCCAAACAAAGCCAAACTTAGTGCCATATAAGGTCAAAATGCCTCTTGAGTAGGAGCATGTATGTGTGCCTGGGTCTTGTTTTGTTGGCGCTGCAAGTAGCATGCGATGCCTATCAGTGCAGTAGCCGTGGAAATCATGAAATCATACTTCTTAATGTCTTATCGGTTAGTTTCAATCTGTAGCAGCTGCAAAAACATTCACTTTCTGAGAAACGGCTATGCTCTAACTCACACACACACACACACACACACACACACACACACACACACACACACACACCGTAAATAGACATAAAATGGTAGCCACCCACCCCCACCCCTTTACCCCTAATCCAACCACTATTGACAGCATACACACATCCACAGACAACCAAACAAACCTAAAACAATCCATATCTTTACAGCCAAATTACACAACTCACACATACAAAAACAAAGGAAAATGCACACACTTGCACAAACGTAAAGGTGCAAAAGTGTTTTTATGCACCAAAGGATTCCCATATTTCTCTGTTCTCTAGCTCTCGCTCTTCCTCTCTGGTTGTGTCTCTCACAAACACACATTGTTTTATGAACACAACAAATACAATTTTCCCATTACTTACACTCGTTTTTTCCTGCACACACATATGGACAAAAACACATCCTTTACACTTTAACAGATTCAACTTAAAATGACCTATTTGAATCTTGAAAGGTTTAGGGAGGTGATTCAGGGAGTATAGGGAGGTGAAGAGAAAGATGAAAACTGAGAAGACTGAGAGATGATGGCCCAGCAGAGGGCTAATGTATCATTGCCGTGGAATTGGATATATGATGTCAACCATTCTCTCTCTTGCTCGCTCTCTCTCTCTCTCTCACACACACACACACACACACACACACACACACACACACACACACACACGCAAAACAAAAAGACAAGCAGCAGGTCCACAAACATGCAACCACACCCGCCCAAAGCATCTGTTCATGCAAGCTCGTGCGCACACACACGCACAGATAGACAGTACTCTAAAGCAGCGGTCCCAACCCCCGGGCCTCGGACCGGTACCGGTCCGTGAGTCGTTTGATACCGGGCTGCAAGAGTTGAGGCTCAGGTGTGAAATGTATGGTTTTCAGGGTTTTTATCAGTTTTCAGGGTTATTTTGTTATCGTTTTTATCGTTAACTTGGTTTTCCTGGGTCTTTTCACGTGTGTTATGAATAAATCTTTTTTCGGTACCGGTACTAGTTTTATTTTGTTGTATTTATCCGAGACACCTTAAAAGCCGTAAAGGTCGGGCATAAACCGGTCCGTGGCGCAAAAAAGGTTGGGGACCTCTGCTCTAAAGAACATAATAATATCAGCCATGTCTATAGAGCAGCAGTTGAGCATTTCTGATTTCCTGTTGTCTTCCTTCTCTTTCTCTC